CTCTTCCCCAAATACAGAGAGGCCTACCTGAAGGAATGCTGGCCCCTAGTGGAGAAGGCTCTGGGAGAGGCAGTAAGTTTGAAACCACCCTGAGACCTTTGACCTCTGTCTGTGGTGTCGGTGCGTTCACGTCCCTGTAATGATGGTGCTTCCTTCCTTCCTTCCACCATTCCACCCTTCCTTCCTTCCTTCCTCCCTTCCCCCCCTCCTTCCCCCCCCCCCTCCCTCCCCCCCTCCCTCTCTCCTCCTCCCCCCTCTCTCCCTCCTTCTCTCTCCTCCTCTCTCTCAGCACATCAAAGCCTCTCTGGACCTGATCGAGGGCAGCATGACCGTTTCTACCACGAAGAAAACCTTCGACCCTTACGTCATCTTGAGAGCCAGAGATCTGATCAAGCTGCTGGCCCGGAGCGTTCCCTTCGACCAGGTCAGACTGACTCCTCCTCTCACCTCCTCTCGACTCCTCCTCTCGCCTCCTCTCGCCTCCTCTCACCTCCTCTCACCCACAGCTGACTGACTCCTCCCCCTCTTTATGTTTCCGACTGTTTCCTTTGTTCTTATTGTTGTTTTCTTCTACTTCCAGGCTGTGCGTATATTACAGGACGACGTGGCGTGTGACATCATCAAAATCGGAACTCTGGTGAGGAACAGAGAGCGCTTTGTGAAGAGACGACAGCGGCTGATTGGTCCCAAAGGCTCCACCCTTAAAGTGAGTCAACATTTTAGCGCAAAATTAAAAATAATGTAACGATTTTAGTTTCATTGAACAAAAGAAATGAAGTAAGGAATTAAGAAAAAAAAAGTGAATATTTGAAAGTATTGATATTAAAATGCACTACTATCCTATGGCCCCAAGAGGGGGCCAAATCCCCACTTGACAAACAATAACTTTGGTTTGATTCAGATTTATTTTACAGAACCTATAAAACTTTTACAAAGGCCATGTTTGGTCCCGGAGCCGGACTTTGGACCTCAGTGATCGATCTCTCTGGTTTCTTCCCTCCAGGCGTTGGAGTTGTTGACCAACTGCTACGTGATGGTGCAGGGAAACACGGTGTCGGCGCTGGGTCCACACGGCGGCCTGAAGGAGGTAGACCACTGGTGGAGAGGTCAAAGGTCGCTCCCCTCTGACACTGGTTCATGTTTGAATGTCCTCTCTGTGGTTTAGGTTCGTAAAGTGGTGATGGACACGATGAAGAACATCCATCCCATCTACAACATCAAGGTACGTCAGTCGTCTGGGGGGGGAGGGGCAGTGGACGGGGAGGGGGGTCAGTGGACAGGGGGGCGGGCTGTTCTCGTGTCCCATGAA